AATTCTGGGAGTTGAAGTCCACTCATCTTAAAGTGGCCAAGTTTGGACAACACTGTCCTATGACTTTGTCATCGTCCTTAAAATAGTCATCTGACTTCAGCACCTTTCTATGTCACTGCTGCCCAATATAGGTGCCTGTTTGCTTTAGCTGGGCAGCTGGGATGACCTTCATGCCTCAAGTGACCCTTCTGAGATTATATATATACTCCTGGCATACATTCCCAGCATTCTTTACTCAGCTCTGCCAGGACCACCACCACCACCACCACCACCACGAGGCAGTGCAGCACGACTCATTAAATGGTCATACATTACTACGATGAGAATTCCAACCACTGTGGATTTTTAGCAAGGAACGGCTGAATAAAACATGCAAATTTATTGTGACAGCAAACTGTATCTACTGAATGCAATGCAGCAACGGCCTTGCTGGAAAGAAAGCTGCCTCCTGGGATCGTACAAGTTAGTATCTTTAAACTCAAGGGGGCTGATTTAGGATCACCTAAAACGGCGATTCTATACATGCTTACGCTAAAGTAGTCTAACAGGACTGAACTTCTTTTTTTATAGAGCACACCGTTTGTGTACAATTTGCCCGTCGTCTTTTAGCATTTCAGGAATAACCTATTTCCTCTAAGGATAAATGCCCAACAGAAGCGCTGCCAGATCCGGACCGCAAAAGCCCTGAAGATTCCTAGACGGCAGCAAAGTTACAGTTTTCCGTGTCTTCTTCCCGCCACCTGGCGTCCGGATTTTGCCGTTCGTAGCCGTACGCAAACGCCATGAAGCATTATTACCCCGAGGGAGGCCCGCCTTGACTGCGGCTGCAGCGGAAGAGTTCGAAGAGGCGGGACGACTCAAGATCTACCAGCCCCTCCTCCTCGTGCGCGCGCTCGGCTCCGGCAACGTCTCGCCCACAAAAAAACTGCCTTCTGCTCCCGCTCGGTTTCCGTCTTTTCTTCTGTTTTGCGGCATTGTCGTGAAGAAGAGGAGACTGCCCTAGAGCGGCTTAGCAGAAGCTCCTGCTTGACGGCCAGAGAGAAGAAACAGGGAGGGGCGGGGTTGACAAGTCGCTTCGTTGTCGTGAGGGGCGCCTTCGCCATGAGGCAGAAGAAGAAAGGTAGAAGGGGGACGGGATGGAAGGAATACTGCTATGGAGCCTTCTAAAATAGATGCCCTCCAGATGCGTTGGGCTGGGCGTGGGAACACGCTGTTTGGGTACTCTGGGAAATGTAGTCCCAGCACAGCTGGAACGCCTCAGTATAGGAGAGACTCGTGTACATCGATAGGAAGTTGCAGCTGAGATGGCTTTAAATATGATCGGCATCATTAGCGCAAAAAACAGTAACTTCATCCTGGAAACGTCGGTCAAAATGCTGGTTAACTGTTCAGAGACTCGAAGGGTTGGGTCCCTCTGCTCAGTGTAGGAATCCAGATTAAGGCATCCCAGAGAGAGGGCTGGCTGGCTGGCTGGCTGTCTTTCACCTGAACACATCCACTGAAGGGGAACCAACCACTGAAGGGGAACCA